GGGTCTCTCTCCCTGTGGAGAAATACACCGCAACCTACCTGCATCGAGGTCACCTTGCCGTGTTCCTTTCACTGCCTTTGACTTTCGCTAATTTTTCAAACGTAGAATTGCTACGTGATGTAAAAGCCAACAGAGTAAATCTTTCAGAGAGGTTGCAAATCATTGCCTTCGATAATGACAAATGCTGATCTGGCAGCGGTAAACAGAAGGCAACTATCCACAGTTTAGCCTGGTGAGATTTCTAGAGACCAATAAATTTCCTCCCAAAAAAAGGCTGGATTCCATGCAAATGAAGCGCTGAAAAGTATCTGTGTACTAATATAGTTTTTGTATCTCTTTATTTAGATTTATTACCAGATGTCAGATTAAGAAACGCAAAAAATGTGTAATTTATAATAGTGCACACACATGCCTTTGGTGCTATTATAGTTTTATAATGTATGTTGAAAATATATGCACAACTCAAAAATAGATGATGATGATGCCTTGTTCTACCTGGGGGGATTTGGCCCCCCGCTAGGATACATTGGATACACTGCTGGAATGGTAGGTGGTGGGTTTACAAGTTTTGGTTGTTGAGGATTTTTTTGGAAATAGTGTATGACAGTATAGTATCTGGAGAAATGGCACAAAGAAGATATAGTCTATTTGAGTTATGCCACTATAGTGAAAAAGGCAGTAAAATGACAGGTTTATGAAAAGTTAAGCAATGAAAAAAGAATGAAAGTAACAGTATAAAATGTGCAGATGACAAAAAATGACAAAGTGTCAGTGCAGCTGTGTGACCTCATCCTTAGCAATGGGTTGGTTAAGATATAAGACATACAAAGATAGGGGCAGCATGAGAGCATCATTTCTGTGAAAAGAACAACTCAGAAACCGCAACGGACAGTTCATCAGAAGCAAATGCCTTCATTCAACAGATCTGAAACATGATTTATGATTAAGAGGGAAATGTAATGGCCAGAAGAAGAGATGTCTGTGATTTTATGAGGGGGATGACTGGGCAGATTCAGGGGCACTGAACCCTATGAAAGCGCATCATTTTGGGCCCCCAACTTAGACCAATACAGTTAAACTCTAGATTCTTTAGGCCCCTGTCATCCTTGAAACTATCAAACCCGTTTATGGCACCGCTGGGCACAGTTTGCATGAGCTCTAGTGGAACACAGACACTCTCTCTCTCTCTCTCTCTCTCTCTCTCGCTATATATATATAAAATGAAAAATGCCATTTCTTCTTGGAAATCTATCAGGCAATCAGGCAAGAATTGGGAGTGAGCGTGAAAAAAACTTCTATCAAATAGTCTCTAAAATAGTGATGCCTTTTGTAGAATCCTGGAAGAACGATTCATAGGAAAATGTTAGCTAACATTTTTTATGGCAATTCACTTTGCTGACTAAAAGAAATGTCATGATTATCACAGCAGCTTTATGTGAGCTGTTTTGTTCACAGAGAGGTAGTGCGTAAGATGAAAAAACACACAGAATTACAAGTCGTGGAGGTAAAATACGGCAAATGAAAGATGTTAATTCCCAATGGGGCCTTTTTACAGAAACTGCTTCTTGGTTATTAACCCACAAAAAAAACTTATTTAAACGGTTTGGCGAAATTTCTGTCAGATCCCGCTGGCGTGATCGCAGACTCCAGAGGGTTAATCCTATGGCAGAATGTCAAACTGTGCTTAAAACATCTGTCCACCCACCCATCCATCCATTCATGCACCCATCCATCCATCCATCCATCCATTGTCTATATACCCATTTATCCTATGTAGGGTCATAGGTATCCAGAGCCTATCCTGGAAGCTACAGACACAAGGCTGGGAATAACCCAGGATAAGGCACCATCGCAAGGCACAGTACCTAAAACTATGTATGTGTTCTGTCTCTTCTTTTTGTATCTGGACTATACCTTCTTAAGCACCAGTGTGAAGATTATGGCATATATATTAATAATATACAGCTCTGGAAAAAATTAAGAGACCACAGAATTTTTTTTATTTAGTTTTTTATTCATTTTTCAATTTATGGGTATGTGCCTATGTCAAATATGCATTCTTTTTTCAAAACTCTAGCCTGGTTCTTCCCTGCTTCTCAGTGATGAAGGGCTTCTTCCTTGCTTTATGGGGCTTCAGTCCTGCTTCTAGGAACCTGATACAAATTATCCTAGCAGTGCACTTCACACCTGCACTTAATGTTTCCCATTCCTTTTGAAGGTCACTTGAGGTCATCCTTCAATTTATGAGACCCTACAGGATAAGTTGACGGTCATCTCTGGCATTATAAAGTTGCTTCTACCCTCTATCTGGCTGGTTTTTTGTTATTTCCAGTGTCTCCTGCTTCACCATATTCTTGTGTACTGCTGTCTTAGAAACTTTGAACCTGGAAGCAGCCTGCCGCTCAGTGTAGCCTCTGCCAGCAGAACCAGGATTAAACCAGGATTTAAAAATGCAGATGGAGTGGTCTCCTAATATTTTCCTGAGCTGTATAATATTTGTTTTGCCATTAACTTACTTACTGTATGCAGTATGTATACAGTACGGTGCATTTTTAAAATAGGGCAAAATAAATTGTTTGTTTTACAGCTGATCACTTGCTTTTATAACAGTCATATAAAATTTTCAAATGAGCACATGAATGGCACCTAAGCATCTAACACTTTGAACACCACAGTTCTCAAACCAGCTAGTAGATCCTCCATGCAGGACTATTCTGTAGATCATAATCAATGAAAATCCTCATCAGAGCATGTTTTCTTCATGTTTTTTTATGATTAATGTATTAATGTGTTTTGTTCTCCTATGAGATACCTAATGCGTAAATTAACTTATGTTTCGCTGACCACTTTTGGTTTTGAGACATTAGCTATTAATTGCTAATCCATTTATGACTTGTAAGATATCCCATCATGGAAAGCACAGCAGTACTCCTTGTCTGCCGCAATAATGCAGTCACATCATTTTTTACTAAAACCTTCATTTTTTTTTCTAATTCAGCAATTGGCAAAAATTGTCTTAACAGCGTAACAGACCAAGGAACCTGTATAAAGAGAATTACTTGGTCAAATATAAGCATATTATATTAAACGATGTGAGGGCCATCTGTACTAATTTAACGTGTGGGAGATTTTGAATATCTTAATCTGTCATATGCAAATTTAAAGCATACTGGCCATTTTGCCAATTTCAAATAATAATAAAGAACTCAAACATAGACATACATTACCAACACCAACAGTTTTTTTTTCTTTAAATTATCTTGATCGCAAGTTTAACATTAATTTTTCAAAAATAATTTGTCCAGTGGCAGGTCACGTGGGGTGTTCCCAGTATGCATTGGTCAGTATCTACCAAAAGTGGCCCAAGGAAGGCCAACTGGTAAACTGGTAATGAGGTCATGGGCTCATAGACGTGTGTGGGGAGTGAAGGGCAGCCCGCCTGCTCCGATCCCACAGGAGAGCTACTGTAGCACAAATTGCTGAGAAATGCTGGTTATGATAGAAATGTGTCAGAACACACAGCGTATCGCAGGTTGCTGTTTATAGGGCTGTGTAGCCACAGACCGGTCAGAGTGCCCATGCTGACCCCTGTCCACCACCAAAAGCATCTACAATGGGCCCGTGAGTGTCACCTGGCACATGGAGCAATGGAAGAAGGTGGGTTGGTCTGAAGAGTCATGTTTTCTGATACACGATGTGGATGGGCAGGTGCGTGTGCATCGCTTACGGTACCTGGGGAAGCACTATGAGAAGAAGGCAAGCTGGCAGAGGCAGTGAGATGCTCTGGGCAAAGTTCTGCTGGGAAACCCTGCGTCCTGGCATTCGTCTCAGTGTTACTACCTAACCACTGTTGCAGACCAAGAACACCCCTTTATGTCAACGGTACTCCCCGAAGGTAGTGGCCTCCTTCAGCAAGATAATGTGCCCTAACACACTACAAAAAATGCTCAAGAATGGTTTGAGGATCATGAAAAACAGTTCAACTTATAGGACTTAAAGGATCTGCTGCAAATGTCTTGGTACCAGATACCAGAGGACACCTTCTGTGGTCATGTGGAGTCCATGCCTCGACAGGTCAGAGCTGTTCTGATGGGCCGGCACAAGCGGGACCTGCATGGTATCAGGCCGGTGCTGTTATGTATGATCCTACATTAGCTTCCCCACTCACCAAGATACCTTTTATCAAACTGTTTCTCATCTGGGGGATGGCGGACAGGGTAGTTAAAAAATACATATATGTAGAAGATTTTGTGTAATGTTGGCAAATTGTGTCAGCAGTCAGCAAGTCAGCAAGTTTCATGGATTATATGTATAAGAAGATAAGAAATTTACAAACGAGTGGAGGCCATTTGGCCCATCAAGCTCATCTGGGGAGAACTTAGCTAATAGCTCAGAGTTGTTAAAATCTTATCTATCTCTGACTTAAAGGAACCCAGGGTTTTAGCTTGCGCTACACTAACAGGAAGACTATTCCATACTCTAACTACACGCTGTGTAAAGAAGTGTTTTCTCAAATTCAGTTTAAAATGTTCTCCTGCTAATTTCAACCTATGACCACGAGTTCTAGTATTTAAACTACTATTAAAGTAGCCATTTGGCTGAACAGCATCCAGACCTGTTAGAATCTTATATACCTGGATCATGCCCCCCCCTTAATTAATCTCCTTTGCGCGAGGCTGAACAGATTCAGCTCAGCTAACCTCTCATCATAAGACATTCCTCTAAGACCAGGAATCATTCTTGTAGCCCTACGTTGAACCTTTTCCAAGGCAGCAATGTCCTTCTTAAGGTATGGTGACCAGACCTGCATACAATATTCTAGGTGGGGTCTAGGTGGGATATATGGTTCAAAACTTCAAAAGGTTGTGTTGTGACTTAATGACCAAGGGATAATGTGGGTCCTGAGACCAAACGCGCTGAGAACAACTGCTTTAGCATGATTCAGAACTAATGAAATGACAGTTCTTCTCAGATATGGTACATCTTGAAGCAGTACTTACCTATAAATTTTATATCTGGTTGTAAATCCTTGACGGTATCTTTCCACAAAGGAGAGGTAACTCCGAGAATGGTGGAAAGGCCCGCGGTCAGAGATGAGCCAATCAAATTGCTTGGAGACATGTTGCTCGGCAACAGATGGATCTTGACGGGAACACTGAACTGCTATATGGTCCCATATAAACAGGAAGCAGATGAACTCAATAAACCTCCAGTTCATGCTTTTCTTTCAGCCACTCTCTGCTCATTCTTGCTCCATTCCGTGGACACCTGCCAAGGGACATAAAGATATCAAACATTAAATACATCTCAGAACTTCACAGAATGCCTTATATTACCCTTCTGTATTCTTACAGTCATGGAATTGGCGGTTCATACTCATTTATTTCTAAATTTCTGCAGAAATATGAGGTTGTTTGAAATTAGTTTAAAAAGTAGAAAACAAGGTTGCTGATGGTATTACTGCATGGCAGTTAATGTATGATTGTCCATTTATCCATTAATCCATCCAGCTTCCAACACATCCTGGTCACAAGTAGGAGGGCAGAACAGGAGACTATCCCAGACTGAATAGGGTATTATTCACATAATTTTATTCACATCATCCAGGTTCATTTGACAGTAAATCTTTATACAAAAATAACTGTTCTTATGTGGCATTAATCAACATTGTATGATTTCTGTCCCAGGGGTCTTCAGGAGACACCCCAGTGAATTTTAAGTGCAATGTGTCAAGTTACTCAGTGACCTAAGAGATATTTTTATTGAATAGTTAGAAATGTATTTGACACAATTAGAAAATGTAACTATTGCATATTCCTTGTACAGTGCATCAGTTTACTCCACTAAAATATGTAAAAACGTGCAGTGATATATAACTGCAAAAAGTCTATGAAATTTTATTTTATTTTAAGGGAAGTATATTTTACTAAATGTAATTTATAAAAAGCTTCTGTTGCAGTTTATTTAGTAGACAGTTTTACCCAAAGTGAAACACATTTTGAGTTTTTGGTTCCTGGGTTCAGGGTCTTGCTCAACAGTGAAATCACTCAACCAACTATAGTATCTGAACCGATGACCTTCCAATCACAGGCACAGTGTCCCAAACCCATGAGCGTTTCTTGGAGATCACACCAAACAATTTGAAAGAGAATTTTTAAATATGCTTTGAGTGATTTATTTCCATGAGTTTCACCAGCTGGATTCACTTGGAGCGGCTATCACGCACAGGTCTAAAACCCGTTTGTCACAGGTCCTGAAGATTTCCGCTCCGGCAGCAGCTTTCACATAAAATTTGTGTTAGAGTGGTACGTTTTAGTCCTCTAGAACCAACCTGCAGCTTAAATTCACATGGTTCTCTCTTCACCGTTATGGCTTAGGAGTAAAAGGTTGCCAGTTTGAATCCGGTGGCCAGCAGAGTAATCCTGTCACATCTGTGTCAGCAAGGCTCTTAACCTCATAAAACTCTGTTGGATAACTGGATGACTCCGTGTTCTGGCCCCAAAGGTCACTGTCACCTGTATATTAGAGTGCCTCATAGGAGAGCAAGATGAGATATGTGAAGACTAAAAGAGTGTCTCTGAAATAGCAAATAAAATAATTATTATATAAACATCTGTGCTGGTCAGCAGTAACTGCAAGGGAAAGGCATGAATCCTGACTCAGTATGACAAACTGAATTAAGATGATCATAGTCTGTCTACAGCCACCCCAGTAAAATGAAGTAACGGCCCACTACTGCAATCACCCGAAGAGACTTAAGTTTATTTGTATGCAACTTCATTTTGTTCTGCAGGAGCTGCCTGACCTTCAGAAAGCACAGCTCAGCATCCCAGCACAATAATGAAATTCAGGGCTTGTCCAGAGCCAATCACAGCAATGCCTGCAATCAATGGGCAATTTAAAATACATTGTAATACATTAATGTGCTGAGTTACTGTTCCAATTTACCTGTACCTGATTTATCGTCTTCTACCATTTTCTGAAACGAGCCAGTGGACTGCAGCAAGGATCAATACAGAACCACGGGTACAGGATCAATACAGTACCACAGGAAACCTGCTTTCAAATGTCACATGCAAAACCGTAATGTGCTTGAGTCTGCTGACTGAATGCCAGCCGCAGGTGTGCGAATGCTTCACGGAGTCCTTCAGCAACCCCTTGAAAAAGGTCAACAAGGCAGGTCACTGGGATAACTGTAGTAACTATAACAAAACAAAAGGAATCAGAGCATCCTTCTCTGAGGCAGACATGCTGAGAAGTGACTCTCCCGGATTAGGAGTTTCATTAAAAGAAGGAACATATATGCAGTAATAAAAAGAACAGAGGAAGAACTATATTGCCTGATTGAAGATATCACAAAACATTTCTTCATTTTGGCTGAATCATTTTCATGTCTAGCACTTTGCATCTCTTAACTTGAAATGTCTGTTCCTTTTTGAGTCCAGTAATACAGTTGCAAAAGTGTATATTCCCATTGTACTAAAGCATCTCTGATGCATTTAGCGAACGTAAATTAAACTGTCTGGCAGCTTAAATCAGACGTGTAAGATGAAAAATAACCGTCAAGTGTGGACAGAATAAACTTTTGTCACCTGCTGTCGGAACAAATCGTCTGCTTAGTCAGTGAGCAACAAGCTGCGAGAAAAAGAGGGATGTGGAAAGCTGCTGATCTGGAGCACGTGCCACGTGACTCATTTCTCCGCGCAGACAAGTTATCTTAGGTCGGCATTCAAGGTTTGACTTCTGAGATTCAGATCGAGTTCTAGGTATTTTTTAAAGAAATTCTAATACAACAACAACAACAAATTTATTTTTGTATAGCACATTATCATGACATTACATTGTCTCAAAGCGCTTTACAGCATCCCCACCCAAGTTCGAGAACTGAGGTACGACTGTATAAGATATATAATATAGTGCTTTCATAACATCCAGCTGTGTTCAGGGCTGTTACTGTATCTTGTTGAAAAACAAATGATTTTCAGTGGATGTGTTCAAACTTTTGACTGGTAGTGTGTGTGTGTGTGTGTGTGTGTGTGTGTGTGTGTGTGTGTGTGTGTGTGTTTGTGTGTGCATGTTAAGGTTGTCATAGTTTTTCCGATAGAAATGAATGAGCGGTCCCCAAAAAGATATGATTACACGACTGTGTGTGTGTTTGTGTGTGTGTGTCTGAAAACATGTAAACAGTATATGTATGTATTATAAAAATTGCAAAACTCAGGAATCCATTTTACACAGTCAGTTATTCATCTCATTCTCAATTGTGGTGTCAAAATTGAGATTGATTTGCAATATAAAAAGCTGGGTCATTAGAATGTAAGTAAATGATTTGCAATGCTTTTGACAAAATAACCGTTGAAGGGAGCTGGGAAATGAAGAGAAAAAAAAACACTGGTATTAATGTACATAAGAATGTTTTTTTCCATTTAGACTTTATTGTAAAACCATAAAAGTCACTGAAATATATAGTGAAATATGAGCAGCAGGTACATTTTATTGCTTAGTGGTGGTTAATATTATATAAGGAAAACCCATTACATGACAGAAAACACTTTATAAATGGTTTACAAATGCAGCCCTGAAGGAGCTCCAGCAACCAGTAACAGGGAATTTGCCGTCTCAAAAGCCAGTAAGGTTAGGGCATACCAAACGTCATCTTCCCCTTCTGAAATGGACCTGTTTTGAATGGTACTGGAACCCAAAAATTGAATTGCCTTTAGGGAAACACATGAGCAGTTACTGCAAACACTGAGCCAACAGGTCAGAGCTCAGAATCTGTAGCACCTGCTGTGTTTCATGAGCCACAAATGATCCATCCGGCATGACACTGAACTGAAAATGTGAACTAAAGATGCTTTCCCCTAAATTCACACTTCAAATGACACACTCAGAAAAGCATATATCAAAATGCCTGAATTCCATGCCTAAAGCATGATATATCACACAGGTCAGAATCAACCAGAAATAATAAACGCTCTCATCAGGTAGTCCCCAGTAGTACTGGCATTCAAACCAACATGCAATTTAGAGAAAACAGGCAAACAGACTTACAGTTACAGTTAGCCTCATTCGGGAACAACTAAAAGCTGCATTACAGTATGAAGAAGTATGAGCAGTTTCTGGTGTTTGCCCTTTTAAAGAAGAGCAATTGGCTGGAAGAGGCTGTTTCACCTGAAGGGCTCATTTATATCCTATAATGAATGACATATTCCATTTCTTTGAAAGTGTCAAACAGCTAAGAAATCTGAAGTGATAGAAAGTATATACATTTACCTTATTTAGGCCGTCAACTACTGCTACTTTCCAAGGACTAGACCCTTCTCACATGTACTATATCTGTACATATGGCTGAGTAACCCACTGTAACAGGGAGATCACCTTCAGCCAGGAGAGGTGAACCTGTGCAGGCAGCAAAGCTAAGCAGTACTGCTGTAAGGTGGCCTCTGTATCCTGCTGCAGAGTAGAGATCAATCCCCATGTTCTGGGAGACTGGGAAGCAGGTCCTCTAAGCAAGACCGGAGACTAAGGGTGGAAACACAATATCAAAAGGTAATACAAATACTAAAAGAGAGCCAGCAAAAGTTTACAATTGTGAACACGTGTAAGTGCTTGAGTCCTATGGAACTCATTGCCTCTGGACATTAGATCAACTACATAAATCATGCTTTTTAAAACCAGATTGAAATCCCATTTGTTTTTACTTGCCTACACATAATTTATTTTTACTGTGTCCCTTTTGTGCATTTGTATGTATTTTACTGTGTTGTATTATTTTGTTGTTCTTATGAATTATCTACCCTTGTACAGCACTTTGTTCAGCCTTGGTTGTTTTAAAATGTGCTTTATAAATGAAACATACTTACTGTCAATAAAGGAAACAGCCTTCAGCACTAGACATATCACCATCACTCAATATCTCCAAGGGTGCCTATTTCTAAATAACTTGCACAAAATATACTGATACCAGTGCTGAAAGCCTAAGCAGTTACAGCTTGCTTTGCTTATTTGCGGACTGGCTAATCAAATCCCTCTGCAAGCTAACAAAAAAGCATCTGTTATGTCCTAGAACCATGCAATAATCGTGCAATTAAGAGTCACAGTTAAAGTCTAAACACTATAACATGTGGTCACAGACATCAGCTACTAGCGCTGACATAATGAGCAGTCATGGGCTATAATTAAGTAAGCTCTCAAACGATACCACACTTATATGATGCACACAAACATGCATCAGCTAAATAGACCACCTTTGGAGAAGGGTCACGGAA